TCAAAATTTTTCCAAAATGGCGTTAAAAGTAACAGAAAATAATTTTAATAATAATAATAATAATAACAACAGGAATAACCGTACGTGATTATTATTTAGCTGTAAAAAAAAGAAAAAACGTGGCAATAGTGAAAATTTTTAACGGTTTTTTCAAAAAATTATCATTATCATTATCATTATTATTAATAGTTAACCATGTTTTAAACTTTGTTTAAAAAAACAATAGAGAGAAAAACGCAAAACGATTGGAAAAATATCAAATAATTTTATTATTATTATTATTATTATTTCATTCTCAAACACTAATCTAAAAAAAAACAAAATGGCGGAAATCAGGAAACAAAAAATTAAATCGATAAATCAAAAATTTTAAAAAAAAAAAAAATGGCGTAAGCATTTGATATGATTCCACTTGATAAAAATTCCTCCGATTAGATTAAAATATATAAACAATAATAATAATAATCGTCACGATTATTTTTTTTATATTTGTATATCTATCACATACGGTACACCTGATCACATTCAATCATTCATTCAATCAATCAATCAATAAATAAATAAATCAATCGACGGCTTGATAAATAAATAAATTATTAAAAAAAAAAACGAATGATTTAACAATAATAATTTAAAGCCCGGATCGGATCCTTCGTTAAAAAAAAAAAAATTTTTTTTTATTTAATAAATCGATAGATCGATCCATCGATCGATATATCGATCTATCGTTATGTTAACCTTAAACATCCTAATAAGCGTTGCAACGTAACAATTATAATAATATTATTTACACGCGTTCAAGCATATTACGTACATGCATATATATATACAAACAATTTCATTTTTACCCGTTAATAACCAAATCACCGCCCCCCCCGCCGCCATTTTTCCTCTTCCCCCTACCCCTTCTCCTTCTACTCCCCAACCCCTTAATTAATAAAAAATATTTTACGAACGGGAGGGGGGGAAAACTCACGCTCCGTCGATCTAATTATAAACTCTATCAACAAACAGTTAGAATTTTACATTAATAATAATAATAATAATAATAATAATAATAATAATAATAATAATAATAAATTAACTCGACCGTTATTTTTTTTTAATTTCTTAAACCGACCCTGCCTACAGCCGATACTCCCTAAATTTAATTTTTTAAATAATAATAATAATAATAATAATAATGACTAAGCGTTAACTACCAACGACGAATCATTTCAATAAATTTTTTAATAATTCCTTCGCTTTTTTATCATTATTATTATCATTAATACATATATTTATTTATTTATTTATTTATGTATGTATATATACATATATATTTTAATTCAATCAACAAAAATTAAATCCGTAATAATAATAATAATAATAATAAAATTTAAAATTTTTATTTAACTTAGCACAAGCACCCATTCGTACACGCACTCGCACGCTCGCACGCACATCGACATCAACGCAATTAATAATAATAATAATTTATTTATTTATTTAATTATTATTATTATTATTATTAACAATTTATATAATAATAATTAGCACGAATTAATTATATATATATACATACAGCCAGGCAAATGTGGATATGTGTATTTTCAGTCGTTTTTTTTTTTTTACATAAATAAACATTTATTTATTTAATTATTTATTTATTTAATTCGCAGGATGTCCTTCTTTCCTTAACATCCTGGAAGACTTTTTTTTTTTTTTTTACGACGAAACAATAATAATAATAATAATAATGACAACGACGATAAATAAATAAATAAATAATTATTTATTACAAGCGTTCGTTCATATATATCAACATTAACGTAACGGACATTAAAAATAATAATAATAATAACAAATAAATAAATAAATAAGAATAATAATAATAATTAATAATTTTACAATTAACCATTCGAATCGTGAGAAAAAATAAATAAATAAATAAATAAAAATAAAAATAATTTTTTTTGTTATTTATTATTTATTATCATTATCATCATTATTATTATTTAATAACAATTATTTGATTTTTTTACTTATTTATTTTAGATTCGTATTTTATTTATTTATTTATTTTTTTACAATAATATATATATTTTTAATAAATTTTATTTAAATTATAAATTTCTCGTAATAATAATAATAATAATAATAATAATAAAAACAATATTACATCTTTTACACAGTTAAGCACGCCGTATGCACGCACGCACTCTCTCTCTCTCTCTCTCTCATTCATCCTCATTCCCATTCATTCATTCATTCATTCATTCACATTCACATTCATTCTTATGACATTTGGTAACATTCAACATCACAGAATTTAATTCCTTAATTTTTTTTTTTTTTTTTATAGTAATCACAAAAGCAAAAAATTTTTTTTTACTGCCCTAATTTAAATAAATAAATAAATCACGTGGGTTAACCTTTTTGGGGACGTTATTGAAACTTAATTTTTGAATCAATAATAATAATAATAAATATTTATAATGTCTTTAAATAAAAAAATTTTTTTTTCGTAACCTATGACTCCTTTTCTTATTATATAAATCAATAAAAAATAAAATAATAATAATAACAATTTCTTTTAACTTATTAATCGTATTCGTAACAATAATAATAATAATAACAATAAAAATAATAATAATAATAAAGGGAAAAATAAAAATTTTTTCTTTTTTTTATTCCGCAGCGAATTTCCAGCAAAATGATGTGCAATTCTAAATATTAATAATAATAATAATAATAATAATAATCAAATAATAATTGCGATAAAGCACAATAATAATAATAATAATGACGAAAAAATCGACTACAGATAATCAATAATAATAATAATAATAATAATAATAATAAATCTCAAACAGATAAAAATACGAGAGTATCGATTATCAATCACTCTCTCAATCAATCAATCAATCTCTCACATATAATTTACTGAAAATAATAATAATAATAATAATAATAATAATAACAAATAACAAATTTTTCTTTTTTTTTGATTGGTTGAAAACCGGTGTCGTCGTTTGTCGTTTCCGTAACACGCGGATAAAAAAAAAAACAAACTGCACTTGAATTTTATTTCATTTTTTTTTTTTTTTCACAAAATCATTATCATTATTATCGTTATCATCATTATTATCACCATCGTTATTATAATTATTATTATTATTTCTATTAATTTTAAAAATTTAATAGTTTTGAATAATGTTTTTTTTTTTATTTTTTAATTTTTTTTAATTTTTATTTTTCGTTATTAAACTATCGCGCCGCGACATTAATAGTAATAATAATAATAATAATAATAATAATGGTAATAATGGTAAAATGATAATAATGATAATAATAATAATATTAATAATAATACTAATAATAAAAGTCTCGTTTTCTAGTTTTTTTTTTAAACTTAATTATTAATTAATTAATTAATTGTAGCGACCCTCATGAATCTGACTCCCTTTGAAAATTTTTTTTTTTTTTTTTTTTTTTCAAAAATTCATTTTGTTTGTTTGTTTGTTTGTTTGTTGTTGATTGTTGTTTGTTATTCGTGATGGTTAAAAAAATATATATTCGTTTAATTCACACTCATTTAAAAAAAAAAAATGAATATAAAAAAAAAAATAAATAAAACAAATTTACAATTGCGTGTTGCCAACATTAAAAAAAAAAAACCCCAACAACAATTAATCGTCTCTTCGGGGTATTTTTGTAAAAATATCAGGGTTGCCAACTGTTTGAATATCAAATTGAAAAAAAAATTTAATTTTTTTTTTTTTTTGCTTTTTGTTGTCGGGCATTTATTGTTCATAAATCGAGACGATTAAAAAATCAAAAAAAATTTAAAAAAATTAAAAAAAAAAAAACCCGTGATATAAATTCAAAAGGGAGGAATGATTAATTCAATGATAATAATAATAATAATAATAATAATAATAAATGTTTTTCCTGATAAAAGAAAAAAAAAAAAAAACAAAGCTTTCGCGTGGAGATGAAAATAAAATGAGAAGCTTACATTTTTCGAAAACGTCATCTCTCAGATGATTATCATCATCATTATTATTCGTTTCATTCTCTAACGCGATTGTTAATAATAATAATAATAATAATGGAATGAGTGAGATTTATATATATATATATATATATAAAAAAATTTTCAATTTATATGTAGGAGTAAGGTCCATCGGTGAGGGCACTACAAAGCAACAGTCAGGAACTGTCGTCCTTTCCCCGATTTCCTCTGTTTGGTTTATATTCTAAACCAGGATCGAACTGCATGAGTACGAAAACCTGAAATAATAATAATAATAATCACAATCCCCATCACCATTCCCATCACCATGAGTATCGTGCAAATAAATTTTATTTTTTTTTTTTTTTTCCCCGTTCAGTTTTCTCACCTGATCGGTGGGTAACAATGAAAAATCATCTGGAGGATTTGTGATGACGTACCTCTTAGAGGAAGCATCACACGAGGAACTTGTGTCTCTAAACCTGAAAAGGATACGAAAAAAAAAAAAAAAACGAAACGAAATTAATTTTTTTCTTTTATTTTAAATTCTGTCGACGTAATAATAATAATAATTTTAAAAAATCGAATCGTCCGAGTTCGAGTTATTTCGATTAATCGAAAAAAATTTAATTAAAAAAAAAACCTGAAAAGTTTTATCATTGATATATCCATCTACCCATCTATCTATCCATCTATCTATCTATCCATTTATCTATCCATACAACTACAATAAAAATGTACAATTTAATAATAATAATATTGATAATAATAATAATAGTAATAATAATAATAATTAAATAAAGCAAAATAACCTAATTAATTACTTATTATGTATATATATATATATATGTGTACAGAAGAAGAAAATAATAATAATAATAAATCAACTATTTCTATATAGTTTACACGTCTAAATTTAAATAATAATAATAATAATAATATTAATGTAGTGAAGTGATAATAATAATGATGGATAATCCTAAAGTAAATTGTAATTAAATTTCCACACTACCCTAAACTATTCGAATTCTTTCCCGTAATCCTCCTTTACGTTCGTTCCCCCCCCCCCCCGATTAAAATTTAAATTTCGGAAAAACCCGCCAAAAAAAAAAAAAACAAAAAAAAACAAAAACAAAAAAAACAAAAAACAAAAAAAATCATCTCCCCTCGATATGACACTTAAATAGGTAGAAAATTTTTTACGGTGCAAAAAAGCCATGCAAAAAAACAAAAAAAAAAAAAGAATGTTTGGAAGCCATGTTTGTTTTATAAACAAATTACAATTCGACGTGCATCATCATCATCATCATCAGCATCAGCATGAGTCTAGTGTGTGTAAGATGAAGCAGAAGAAATTTTTTTTTTACATCGCCACATACTGTTCTATCATTAAAAAAAAAAAAAAAAAAAAAAAAAACATTAAGCGGTAGAAAACGCGGAACTATCAACGCACGTGCATTTCACGTGATGTCGGTGTCTTATCACGACTGATACCGTGATAATAATAATATCTAAAATACTCGAAATAATGCAAATGTAGCGTGTGAGTAATAACATGCAATCTCATCGCAATAAAAAAAAAAAAAAAAAAAACATAAATGAGTTAGCCATTTTTTTTTTGTTTTTCATTTATCTGCAAAATTTTTAGGTTAAACTGTTAAGTTGCACGACGACAAAAAAAACAAAATGGAGAATAAAACCAGGTATGGAACCAAAACGAAAAAAAATAAAAAAAAACACGAGGAATTTTATCAAAAAAAAAAAAAAAAAAGAAAAATCGAGCGAAGAAAAAGGTGGTGAACGTGAACCTCATTTAGTGATATCGAGGGTGAATCCACCTGGAATTGGAAACAATGTTCATACCGATACCTGTACAGTCCGATGCACAACATCCCATAAGATTTTAATGCTGTAACAAATAAGTCACCGTATTTTCCCGTTTCCCCAAATTGTGCTAGGGGTCCATCGTATAATGATATTTGACCGACTCGACACCTGTCACGATTCGAAAGGCTATCGGACGTGCTGAGGAAAAAAAGAAAAATTTTCATGAAAAACCCCCCCCAAAAAAAAAGAAAAGAAAAGAAAAGGAAGAGGACGGACTAAATCGTCTCGTACCTGTAACCGCCTCGGAGACCCGCCCCTTCGGCTAATATGAGTTCTAATTCCGGTGTGGCACCACCAGTTATTAAAGAACGTATTAAAGTTAAAGCATTTTGATTAAAATATGTCTGAAAAAATAATAAAAATAAATAAATAAATACATAATTTTTTTTTTTTTTTGGTTAAATGTCACGTGACATGTTTAAGAAAGCATACCGTTGACATAAGGGAATCTAGGACGCTAACAGCAAAAGCAGTACCGCAAGCAAAAGGCTGTGTGAGGTAGAGTTCTGTATCTGGATCATCATCATCATCTTGATCAAGAAATTGTACATTGCTGTCGTTTACTAATTCTAAAATAAAAAAAAATTGTAATTTTTTTGTTACCAACTGTTGAAAAAAAAAAAAAAAAAATTGATGTAGAAAATTGAAGGTACCTGTAATCATAGGCACATTGGCTCCATACACTGATCCTCTTCTCTGTAGTACAATCGGACTTCCAATATTTGAATTACTGTCTTGTTCCTGATGCATGCTACCTAAATTTAAAAATGTGAAAATGATTATAATACACGTGTGAATTCATTCCGCCATATTGGAATTTGTCGTCTCTTACTTTGAGTAAGAACACCGATGGTATCATCGAATGTCATTGCCTTAATATTAAGCGAAGCGAGGATTGCTTCCTTATCAGCTAAAGTAGGATCGTCATTGCTGGGCACTTTGGCGGATAGAATAACGCACATGTCGCAAAGGTTAACATTAACTGCTCTCAAGTCGGCTCTACTCAACGGGGAACCCTTTAACACAAAAATTATAAATTTTCTTACCCGATCACCTACCCCCCCCCATTCCCCCCATCGTTCGTTATGGATGACTCACGTTAAGAACCGAAATTTTTGGCAAATTTTGAAGCATTTTCCATTCTCTTCGAATGTAATCAACTGCTCCAACTATAACAACATGCTTTAGCTCGTGATAATGAAAATTAGAAGCTCTAAGTGGCATAACTAAATTTCTAAGGCCAATCAGTGGCGAATCCGGGTCTGCAAATAAGCAAACAACTACGTGACCGTTTAATACGGTCATTGCCGCTTGATTGCGGTCCTGTAAAGAAAACGAAAAACGTTATCAAAATACCACCCCCGTAACACTTAATGTTAATGATAATAATAATAATAATAAATTTGACTAACTAATATGCAGTCTTCTAAATTTTTAGCAGGACTCCAATGGAACATTCCCGTCGAATCGTATTTCATTTCCGTTTTTTCAAAATCGAAATCCTTTGCTTGATCGTCGGCCAATCCGACTTGAAGCCCTCCATTGTTGTTCATATTGTTACCTTGCATGGCCCTGCTCGTTGGCCTAACAAAAATTTACAAAAAGGTCAACTGGGGATCACGACGAAGGGGGAGGGGGGGGCGTGTGAATTTTTTTTTTTTTTTATTATTATTTAGTATACAAAAGACACACAGACACATTCAGCATTCTCATTCCACATTCATTTTAGCATTAAAGAACGGATTGTTTGTTTTTTTTTTAACAGGGGGGAAAACAAGGGTCAAAGGGTCAAAGGTTGTCAAAAAAATAAGGAAGGGTTGGGTGGGTAGGTGGGTAACATTCGTACGATTCAACAACAACGGGGGGTAGTAAAAAAAATTCAAATACGATAAAATACAACAACAAAAAAAAAAACGTTTTTTTTTCACAATATACGTTAATAATTATTTTCTCATAATGTAATCTATGTATATCCGGTAAAGTTTTTTTTTTTTTTTTTTTTTGTTGGCAACAACTAGCCCTAGTTCAATTATCATTATGTTGCGAAAAAAAAAAAAAAAAAAAAAAAAAAAAAACCATGCATGAGGTGGTTTGTGCAAAAATACACTTTTCTTTATTTCTTTTCCTACTAAAAAAAAAAACGGGGGTTGTCGACCTATTTATTATTATCATTATATTATAATATCAATTATGTTAATCATATTTTTTCGTATTGCCCCAATGCTCCTAATAATAATGATAATAATGATAACAATAATGATTTTTTACTTTCTTTCGGATCGACTAAGAAAAAAAAAATTAATTTAGTACTTCGGTAAAAGAAATACAAAAAAAAAAAAAAAAAAAAAAAAGGTAAAAACTACAATCAATTATGCAGGGGGCTACTCGTGCACTTAATAGTAATAATAATAATAAAATTTAATGGGGGGAAAATAAATGAAAAAAAAAAAAAAAAAAAGAAAAGCGCGTAGCGTAGCGGGAAAAAATATGCACCCCACCGTCTTAAACAAAAAAAAAAAATTTATTATTATTATTACTATCATTACACTATCTCTCATCACTTTTCAAAGAGCGCATGCGTAAAATAATAATAATAATAATAATAATAGGGGGTAAGAGAGAGAGAGAGAGAGAGAGAGAGAGAGATTACGTTCCAAAACTATGCTTCGACTAATCGAAGGGTTTATACAAAAAAAAAAAAAAAAAAAGGCACATGAGAGGGTGTTGGAAGGCGGGGGGAGGCATCTTTAATTAAGGTAACGGGGGGGAAAAGGGGGGAAAGAGGGGCGGGGGCATAGCAACATAGATAAACGTAAAAGATAGAAGAAGCGTACATTAGCTTTTTGACCTCATAAGCTAGTTGGTACCCTGCGTAGCCCGAGTCCTCTTGTTGTCCCCTGTAATTAATATCAATGTTGTTGTGTTGTTCACTGTATTAAATACATACACCGTATTAATTAATTAATTAATTAATCAATCAATCATTTATTAATTACAATAATAATAATAATGATGATGATGATGATGATTAAAATAAAATATTAATTTTTATCGTGCCAAAAAGTGTGTGAATTTTGACTTTGAATTTTTTTTTTTTGTAAAATTTTCTCATGCATTTTTCCGAAAATTAGATTTTTAGTTACGATGATGATAATGATGATGATGATAATAATAACTTATTTATTATTTATTAACATTTATGTAAAAATCAATAAATCGATCGTCAAATATTTTTCATTTTTAAAGAGAAAATTATTCGGGGGGGGAGGGGGGAAAGAAAATTCCATTATGTTTTTCAAGTTTTTATGATAAATGATTATTATTATTATTATTATTATTATTATTATTATTATTATTTCTTACTTCCTACGCGATAAAAATAATAATGATAATCATTTTTATTCTGTCGATCGATCGATCCATCGACAGACAGCATCATTATCGTAGTAATTTTTTTTTAAAATTGCGTCGTAAATTACGCGGGGGCGAAGGGGGGGGGAAATTGACTGACTCGGAATAAATCTCTTAAATCGATAATAATAATAATAATTTACTTTGTCATAAATTTTTTTTTTTTATTTACCGAGAGAAAGAAAAGAAAACGCCGTCGTTTGTTTGCACGTACATTTAGAGCGACTCCATTTTTTTTTTTTTTTTCAGGTACGAAATGATGGATAAAAAAATTTTTTTTCAAAAAAAAACTTACCTTCCGTTACTGTTGCTGTTGTATCCCTGTTGTTGATTGGGTGACGACACCGAATTTTTCCCACCGGATTTAACTTTGTTGACTTGTTTCGAAGAAGAATTCACCATCGGAGAGGATCCCCTTTGATTTCTACTTATCAAAACTTAATAAAAAAAAAAAAAAAAAAAAACGGTTTTTATTTTTTATCCGTAGAATTTCAGCGAACTAATAATAATAATGATAATAAAACTTACGAGAATCTTCTCGATCTCGGTCCCCCATACCTAAAACGAAATCAATCACAAAGAAAAAAATTATTAATAAAATCATCGTAATCGCCATTTTTTTCTAAAATTATTATTATCATCGTGATTTTTTTAAAATAAAGATTTAGAAAATAGTGTGAAAGGTTCTAGAACGTCAAGAGGTGA